AGAAGAAGAAGAAGAAGAAAGCGAGAAGATATAGAAAATATTGGGGATATATTTATCTGGTGGGAATTTAGCGGACTATCTAATTTATTTTTACCTGTTTCTAATTACAGACTTATATTTTTAATCTTTTTTTCTTTTTGTACATTTTACGTTTACGTTGATTAAATTCGCTGGAATTTATAATTGTATATGCCTTTTTAATGCGTGGGTTACTCGCGAGGAAGTGGAAGAGGAGATACTTGTGCCTGGCGTGTGCCGTAATGGAAGAAAATCGGCAGCATTCTAAAATAGAGAAAAGGAAATATACGGTGGATTCGTTCATATTACGATTTACATCGAATCTTATTTTCTCTCTTTCTGTTAGATCGAACGCGTTTGAACGATGTTAATATTAGGTAGGTGCGTATGAAATGTCGTTTCTTCGAAGTACCAATTTATCAGTTGAATTAAAATACCTGTAAATATTTATTTACAGGTATACCTGTAATGATTTATTATCGATTAAAATCAAATATTGTTTCAAATTTGTTGTAGATTTATATTGCAAACTTATGTCGCGAAACTATCATACTTATTACTTGGACTTATAACTTCTTCTTGGGCTGCCTCATGCTTGTTTAGTTGTTAAAAACACTTGCAATAAATATATCGAAACTGTATTGTAATAGTCAGAACAGTTTTGTGTGATTTTCCTATGTTTAAAATTTCTATGAAAATTCCACTAGAGGAAAGTCTCACCTTATATTTGAAAAACGACAGTTCGTATCACACTGATCTAATACAGAAGAAAATAGTGAAAACTGGACGACATTCGCCATTCGAGATTTAAGAGGAACTAGAGGAAACATTTAAAATCGTCTGGCAAAACTTGACGACAAATTTCGAAACTATTGTACTTCTCGCATAAAAGTGTAAGGCATTGCTTTTTTTTTTTCTTTTTTTTTTTGTAAGAACTTATATGTATTATTCTACTATAAAGTCACTAAAGAATTATATAACCAAATAATTCACAGATGTTTATTAAACGATTAAATGGAGAAACTATTTTTAAGGATGACTAGTTGGTGATAGTTGTCCATTGGATCTATCTGTGGTCTCGTTCCGTAAAATTTCCAGCGGATATGAATATCGTTCGCCTTAATTGCGACGTTTCTAGACACTTTCAGAGCTCAATATGCAATCCGTTATTCCTAGAATATGTATCCGTATATAACAGCTCTTGATTTGTACTTGTTAAACGCGAATTGTCGCGACGACATTTCGATTGAACTTGCTGTACCTTTTCGAATCTGATGTTGTTAAGCTTAATCAAATTGATGGATCGTTCTTTCAGACACCAATAGGTCGAAGCATGATAGTTTCTCCTTTTTGTAAATTCCTGATTTCCGGGATAAAATAGTGATTATTTATCGTGGAATGATAGTATTGTCAAATGTCATAAAAAAATTTGTTCCTTCCGTTGTTCGAAAAGAGTAGAATTATTGTTGAATTTGATCAATTATAATTTCAGTTGATAAATTTGTTTCTTAATCTCGTAATGTTAAGTTTGATGAAATTCGTTTACCTGTTATTGCAAAATATTAATCTTTTAATTCGCCATAAATTAAGAATTTGTTAACTATTATAATAACGTCGAGTTATTAACTTATACTGTAAATATTATATTACTTTACTCTCATGTTAATATTTTACTTTGTGGTATAGTGTGTTTTTATAACAGTATTGTCCGTAGGGAAAATAATTTGTATAATAATATATGTATAACTACAATAATGTAAAAGTTCATTCGGTTATTTAAATTATTCTCTTTCTATTTCTAAATATTTTATCCATCTAATATTCTATTTGATGAATATTCTAATTGATAGTAAATGTTAAATATTAATATTAATTTGATATCTTAATATTAGATATTTTGATATTGTTAAATATTTTCCAGTTTCTTGTCTCATCATTCCTTTACAATTCTTTTCTTTTCGAGCAAGAAATTATCAATTTGATTTTATTTGCAAATTATTGTAGTTGGTGATAGGGGAACATTGTTAAAGCTTGGACAGCACTGTTTGACAAAAACGTTTCAAATTTTCATTACATTTAACCTACTTATTGTTCTATAATTTTTGAAAATATATGAAGATCACAAAGCAGAGACACAGATAAAATTGCTCTTTAATTGAAGTTGAAGTTATGTTCGTTTCTCTTTCTTCTTTACAATCCTTTCCTGCCAAAAATGAATTTATCATATTTCCTCATTGTGGAATCTTTATATAAAAAAAAAAAAAAAAAATCGACACAATACGTTTCGGTATATATGTATCAATCTAAATGATCGCAGTTCGTTTTCCTGCTCATTGTTAGTCGAGCGAGTCAGATTTTGAAAACGTACAGCTCTTGTCGTCGAATTGTATTCTTTGCGTAAATGAGAGAAGAGAGTAAATTTGTTATACTCAGCATAGGACGTTTCTAAAGTACATTTGAAAACGTGTGTCGGTTCCTGGTGAGAGACGTGTGCTTGGCGCGCGACGCGGATGTAGAAAGAAAGAAAGAAAAGATGAGCGAAGGCGGAAGGAAAGAGGGCAAATGGAAGACCGTACAATTTGAATATCACAGACAGACCAATAATTTACAACGTAATTTGTGTAGTCCGATGAAACGGAGCGCAAATAAATTTATGGAAAAAT